GCATCAGCGTTAGCTATAATATTACCATCACCACAGACGACATCCACTCACCGATCTGTCAGACGGCAGAGGAGGTTTCTGTCGTGTTCTCTTCCAGACCTAAAGGAAATGTACAAAGGTGATGTTTCTCATTCCTCTGAAACCAGTTTCGACAGGTACCAAAATCACCTCTCTCAGATGCACATATGTGCAGAAAGTCAGAGAGAACTTATTCCAGGATTAGCTCACACCTTTGATCAGAGACACTGGCTCCACCGCTGAAACAGCAAACCGGACCACCCAACCTAAGTCAGACTGTGTTTCCCTCTCTGGATTTTGGGCAATGTGGTTGGTATAACGGCTCTCTTTAGTCCCTTCCACCTTAGCATTCTAGTGTGAAGACATCTGTTTGCCTCTGTCTGTCACCTCAGTCACAGCCCCCTACTCCTCAGCTATGTCTTTTCTTGTCACTCGGTATTCTGAGAGAGGTGGCTCCTGGGTGTGTGAAGGCCACAAAGCCAGTCGGGGCTGGGCTGAGCAACCCTTTCTGTTGTTTGGGGACCACGGAGGAGGGGGGGCCAGGAGGAGGGGGGGCCAGAATGACTGTTCGTACAGAGAGGATGAGGCAAGCCATGTCGTCCCCTGCTCAGGCCCTGTAATTTCTATGATGAGCGCTGGGAAAGCATTCTCATTCTGACAGAAGGTTATCCTTCCTGTTCCTCTCTTCCCCTCCAGAGTAAGCATCCCTGGTCCACGGGGTGCTCAGGTGGCACCAAACACAGAAGCTTCCTTTCCGTTGGTATGCCCTGACATCAGCACTTCCCCAGGGGGCTCCCCAAGAGAGGGGCCTGGGTCTCCACCTTCCTCTGAATCCCCTGCTCACTAAATGTGGATTCCCCACTCATAGAAGCAGCTTGCTCCAGACACCTGGGCCAAGTGTCTGCCATCTCACACTCCTCTCTTCAAGCCTGAGACATCCTGACTCAGACCCCCAACTCAGACCACTCTCCTGGACCATCCCACTGGGGGAGGGGTCCCTGATGTGGAGCACTCTCCTGTACTGTCCCACTCTGTACATCTCCTGGGACTTCCTCCCATCACCAGTAGTCAAAGGCACCCACCCCAACGGCATCTCCCATTTGTAGGCGGAACCCTCTCTGCCCTCCCCCTCCCCATTTGTATATTCTTGATCACTGGAGACATTGTCTGCCCAAGCCCACGGAACTGATGTTCATGAAAGCTGCAGTGTTAATTGTTTCTGAAGATTTTAGGTTCCAGGAAACATAAGAAGGTTCTAGATGGCTTGTAATGTGAAACCTACATCATCATCATCATTATTATTATTATTATTATTTTCTGGTGAAAGTAACACTTTTAATGAAAGGAAGTTAACATTAAGTGGCAAATGTCATAGAGTCAGCCACGAATCTTTCTACCTTTGTTGGGGCCACAAATGATGACCATGTGCAACCGAACCCCCAGGTCAGCAGAGGGACAGACTGATGGTAGAACCACCATCGTCATGTTAGCAATTTGACCTGAAAGTTCTCAGGGCAGTTTGGGATGAAGAACTTGAATTTAATCTTTCAATATTGCCACACATCACTTATGTCAACTCTTAAAATATATCCAGACAAGGACACAAGGAATAGATCTTAAATAACAGTCCCCCCACCCCTGTCAAGGGCTATGAATTTCAGCCAATAGGAAGGGGTGAGGGGATGGGGTCGAACCCTGACTCATCTCTAACTGACATCTAGGCAAGGGTCTCAGCCTCCCTGAACATGCTTCCTTGGCTATAAACTAGAAACGGATGCCAGGCTCATGGGGTTCTCGTCAGAGTAAATGAATAAACGTAGGACAGATACCTAGGATGGAGGTCAACACCTGGCAGACACCAAGAAATTGTTTATTTTTCTTCCTCCCTCCATACCAGCACCCCATCTCTCCCATCTAGAAAAAAGAATGTGCTGCAGATCAGGTAGGAACCAGGAGGCCAGCTTTCCTCACACAAGGAGCAGAAACGCAGCTTGTACCTTGGTTACGGAGTCGTACAGCGTGAGGGCCTTACTCCCAGAGAGAGGAATAGGAAGCAGAGGCTCCCTCCTGAGGGGGACTGATCAGAGAAACGTCCCAGGAAAGTCTGGGACTGTCCCGGGGCTCTTGCAGAGACATAGGGCCCTGAGCGAATCCACTCCTTCTTTCAGAACACACTGATGTCAAACGGAAGGGTCAAAGTCCAACACAACTAGACTTTAATAAATTTACACATATTGCCCATCTACTGGGCACTTCACGTGCATTTCTTCATTCAAGCCTCACAACAACTCAACGAGGTAGTGACGGCTCCCTGAGGCAAAGTGACTTATCCAAGTTCATGCAGGCGCACGTGGCACAGTTGGGTGATCCCGGGTCGGCTGTCTCCATGCCTGCTCTGCCAGGCAAGCATAGGGCGCGTGGCCCAGGGTCCATCTCTCAGGGCAGCTGGATGTCTCCTTGCTCACCCTGCCCCCTGCATCCCTGCTCCCCCCAAACAGGCTGTAGGGCCAACATCCTAACCCCAGGGAGCAGGCTCGCCCAGGGGGTCAGGTTGCTGGTGGAAATTCCTTCGAGAAAGGTATGGTATGGGGGAGGCAGACAGACGGACATCTGAGGGGTCACATTCACAGACAGGCAGGTCATTGCCAGGAGGAAGCCACATGCCTCACCTCCCAGCTCATCTGACCGGAGTCAGACACAGGCAGATGCAGTCACGATTGTGTCCCAAAGGCCTGCGGGGGCTGGCGAGGGCCCTCGCGACAGCTGCCACAGGGCAGCCCATCTGGAGGGCTCTTCTCGCTGGACGCTTAACCCCTCTGACGACCCCTGGGGCCATACCCCCGTGAGAGAGGTACTCAGGAGAACAGGGTCCCCTTCACTGAGGATGAGTCAGGACTCCTAGAAGAACCCCCTCTGCTTCCCAGGGTGACAAGATGGGGCAGGTGGTGCTGGGAAGGTGGGTGACCAACACTCCTCCAAGTGAGAGACCATGAGCCTCTCGTGTTGAAGAACAGACCCAAACACCTACCATACCCCTGTTGCAAAAAGAGGGGCTCCCCGAGTTCCAGTGGCTTGGGTGAAGGCCCGGAAAGTGGCCCCCTAAGACTGCAGGAGGCCCCGGATTGCCATGGGTGTGCAGCACTCTGCCCAGCTTCTCATGGGTTCCCAGGAAACCAACAAAAGGCCCACACAGCCATTTGGGAGGTGTCAGTTGGCAGCTGCCTCTGACCCGAGGCCATTCATGAACTCCTGCTCAGTCACAGCCCCCGAGATGGCCCGGGGTGTTGGCTGCTGACAAGAGGGACTTTCACCCAAGCACAGGTCTGTGTTTCTCTGAAGTAAAAGAAACCTGGGTCCCCTGACTTCCTGGGGCATTCTCTTGGCAGGCTTACCTGAATAAACAAAGCTGCTAGATCTGAAGAATGGGGGCCACAGCCTGCCCGGCTGGAAACCCCCCCAGAAACAGACGTACTGTCCCTGCCCCAGCCGCATCTTAGAAAGACAGAGCCCCCCACTGCTGCAGGGGTCCTGGTTCTACTGGCTGACTGGCCAGCTCCGTGTCAACACCTGGGGCCCTCCCTCTACCTGGAACGCCTCTCCTGCCTGCCTCCTTTCTGCTAATGGCCCCCTGCACAGGGTTCCCGCTCCTCCTCCTCTCCCCTGCTTTAGCTCTGGACACACTAACAGAGAAACGCTCCCGGAGGCCTTTCTAAGCCGAGTCCAAGGGCCATGGGAGTATCTGGGCTTCCTTCTCTGCCTGGGGAGCCCAATACAGAACCCCTCATCCACCTCCAACCAGCTCTGTGACCTTGGACAAGATAGAAACTTCCCTGAGCTACAGCTTCCTCATCTGTAAAGTGGGAAAAGCAATACTTAGATCAAAAGCTTGTTGTGTATATACATAATAGACAAATCAAGTGCATTAGTGGTTGCCAGGGGCTGAAGGGAGGGAGGAATGGGGCGGGGCTGCTGAAGGCGTCTGGGGTTTCTGTTTGGGGTGACGAAAAGGTTCTGGAACTAGATAGTGGTGACGATTGCACAACCTTGTGAATGAACTTAAGGCCACTGAATTGTGTACTTTTAAATGGGGGTTGCTATGGCAAATTACATGTTATGTGTACTTTACCATAATAAAAAAGAAAACAAGGTAATTGTGAGATTAAATGAAATGAAAGTTGCAGAAATGTTGATCGCAGATCCTGGTATACTGTTCCCGCAACAGATTTTAATTTTCCTCCTTCCTTCCTTCCTTCCTTCCATCACGTTGAATTGTACACAACATCCTCCCCAACGCCTACCCAGGGCAGGTGTCTTTCTCTTTAGCTATCTGCTCTGAGATGCTAATAGGATGAAGCTGTTGTCGGAGTGTGGGCCCTTCTCGGCGCAAAGTCCAGGTCCTTGGCAACTCGAGCAAAGAATTGAATGAGAGGCCAGAGTAAAGTACTGAAAAAGTAGTTTATTGGAAGAGATAGTATGTTCCAAAGAAGTAGACATAGGCCTGAGCAGTAGAGAATGGCTCAAGGGCCCATTATTAGAAGAGAAATTACATTCCAAAGCGTTTGGAGGGGGCCACAGGCAAAGGCGTAGCTCAAAAGGCTCCAAAAAGGGAAGAAGCGGTCAAAAAGAGCAGGGTGGAATTCCCAGGACTTGGAGTTTTTACCCCCTTTCTCTAGAATGGTCTGTTCTCCTAAGGGCCTGGGGCCACTTGATTGGCACCTGTGATTGACAAGAGGTGCTGCGCAGGTGTGAGTGACTGGTCTGATCTAGGTGGGTATTTTGTGCCCATTTGTTTTCCTGCAGGGGTAGGTAATTACAATACGAAGGGGAGTTTTGGGTGTAGAGGGGAGGTCCCCTTGGTGGTCCCACTCTGTGGGACATGCAGGAATGCAGAGACCCAATGCCTGCTGTTAACTGCTTGCCTTGTTTTCCCCTTGAGAGATGTGATCCCCATAAAATCTCTATGGGGAGCTGAGGGACAGGAGGCCTCTTCTTCTGTACCTGCTTCCTGCTGAGCAGGGGTGTAGACTTAGCCCTGCCTAGTGGGGGATTCACGGAACTCTCGCCCTAGATGATCTCAGATGAGAGGAAGGGGTCTCGAGCTCCGCCTGGAAAACAGTATTGGCTTCTTTGGGTGTGACTGGCAATCTTGCTGGGGTATCTTCTGTATCCCCAAGGCCCCTGAATGAGGAAAAATAGATTTTAATTAATAAACCTGTTAGCTCTCATGAAGCATGTGGCATTTCAGCCTGTCACTCAGGTGGCGTCAATTGTCTGGGCCCAGAATGGGTTTGGCATTTAGCTTACTAGCCTGCAGGATATTAGGAAGTCACAGGCTTTCAAGTAGTTATCTGAAGCAGGGGTAGGAGACTTCTATTGTTTAGAATTCAGAAACTGATTTACAAAGCAATCAAGAAGCAGGGGGATAGGAGAATTCTAGGATTCAGGCTAGGAGCAATCTTTAGCCTAGGATTCACAGACTAATGAGAAGAGTAATCAAAGCCAGGGGCTAAGAAACTAAGAAAGTAGGGAGGAGACTTAACATTTCTATACTTAACATTTCTATAGGAAAAAACACTTAAAAGTTTCTCAGTGGGGGTGCTGCTTGCTAAGTTAGCCGGTGACAAAGCCACATACTTTTCATAAAGCGAAGCCTTTCCCATTGGCCAATAGGAGGGAGTGTCCAAATCTACCACCTCCCTTCCCACTCCTGCTGGTGACCTCGTTTACCTGTCTTGCCAGCCTGGTCTAGCATGGCTGTACCCATGAACTGAGTCCTGCTACCCAGACTGAAGACGTCCCTCAGTTTCTCCTCCTCACTGTTGCCACAAAAGCTGTCGTTCTGAAAAAATACCATTGATCATTGTTGGGTTGGGAAGCAGTTTTCCAAGGGTTTCTCATGGTTCTTGCTTTCTTAAATCCAGTTTTTCCATTAGTTCTCTCAACCTTGCCTGATGAGTTAGGGTGACAGGAACAGTGGACAACTTGTGTGACTCGGTCAGTGAACTGGGCGCCATGATCACGAGAGACTGTGGAAGGTGTACGCCGAATGGGACACACAGTTTCTAACGGCTTCTTTGACACTGTGAGGGCATCAGCCTTGTAGCAGGGAAAGGCTTCAGTCCATCAGGAAAACACACATACAACAATGAGAACCTATCAATAACCCAGACTAAGTGATGGTTGACTGAAGTCCTGCTTGCATGCACAATGGTAGATGAAGGAGGGCAAAAAACCAAAAACAGGGTTCGCTAAGGAGCTCAGAAGAACCAAGCAGCTGTCTTGGGCTTCCCATGGCCGGGACAATTTCATTTACAGCCATGTTTACCCATTTTGGTTTCGCTAATTCAGGAGCAGATCGTGGCCATGTTACAAGGGCACCAAGATGGCCAACATGAGGTACCAAGGGGCCATTCTGGCAGAAGCAGAATGAACTTCATCCACATGGGCCACAATCTTCACAGATTTTATTGCTACTGACTTTGCATAAAAGTCAACTGGGGCATTTTAAATACAGAAAGTCAACTGTTACTATTGAAAAGATTCAGTTTTCTTAAGTAATCAAAGACCTGGTGAAGACAACCTAAAACTCAAATTATTTTGATAAAACAAAGAATCTTTGCTTTCTAGGCAGAAAATGTGTCGCAATATCTTATCAGGAGCAGACCAATAATACAGGAAAACCTCGTCTTTCAACAGAGAAAGAATCATACACTAATTTTGCATCAGCTTACTTTTGCTATTTAAATTCACTTGATTAAATTCATTCCTATCTTATTCAGTTTTACCACACATAAAATTTCCTTTCCTAAGATTTCTTTTCATAAACGTTTTACAACTTTCTTTGCCCCTTTTGGTTTGTCTCTGGTTCTCTTACCCATTCAGAAATAGCCAGGACAACCTTGCTTTCATTTCCAGCTGGGGTTGCAGGTCGGTGGGGTATCCAGTCTGTCAGGCAGCATTTCCTGTGACGCGCAGGTGCTAGGTAGCCTTGCCTCCCCCCTCCCCCACCTCCATCGCCTCCCAAGCCATAGGAAAATCCAAAGGCTATCTCTGTCCCCTGATTCACTTGAATTCTGTGCTTTTGTAACACTTCTTCTCATCCCCTCCACCCCCTATAATTGAATGGACATGTGGGGTAAACAGCCAACTTGGAATCCTAAGTCGGGGCATCTTGCCACAGTCTCAGTTCTCTCTCCAGTTCATATTGGCTCTGCTGCTTAGGAGTGTGATACTCTAGGCACAGCGTACTCATCTGCAACATGAGAATAAACGAATAAACCCTTTTTGCTTCACAGGATTATAATGTGGCTCAAATAAGAGACAGCATAGACACATGAAAAGACTCTGAAAACTGCAGAGCTCTCTACGACATGTGCACCATTATTAAGACTTATTAATCTCCTGTATGCATGGTGTTCAAAGCACCAAGTGAGGCATTCTCACTCACTCTGGCCTTTGTTTGTCTGGAACACTCCAAGAGGGTGTGTAGCCATGGAGCGTAGGAGGTACACAGCGGAATGAATAACCTGTGGGTAGTATGTCTGCATAGCTGAACCCCACTGACCTCAGGTGTCCTGAGACTAGAGGTCACGCTTGAAACCTAGGTGGCCTGGATGGTGCAAAGGCTGCTGGGGTTCTGGGGCCAAGGTGAAAGGCTGCCTGCTACCACTGGAGAAGAACCTGGCTCCCCTGGAAACTCCCCGCTCTGGTCATTTCTTCAGTTGGTCTGAAATAAACATAAGAAGAAATTGGCACTAGACTGAAGCATTGTTTGAAGCTGGAGAAGAGTGCCCATATCATACCTACTTTACTAACTTGAAGTCTGGCTTCTCTGACCCCAGGTGTAATCAATCTATTAACATAATTAGCCTAAAAAGAAGTCCATGCAATGAAAACACTGACAACCTGATTGAGAAGATTAAATACAGGATGGATGGATGAAAAAAAAGAGGATTGGATAGGTAAGAACAAACATGAGACGATACTAACAACATCAGGATAAAAAGAACAATTTATTGAGCATCTACAATGTGCCAGGTACAATATGCCAGGTGGTTCCAGATCTGCTATCACACCTGTCGTTCCTGAATTCTTGCATCAGCACTGTGAGAGATCATCATCCCCATTTTTCAGATAAGAAAACTGAGGTCCTGAGAGGTTAAGTAGCTTGCCCAAAGCCCTCCACCTGGCCAGGCCCGTTACTTCATCTAAGCCTCACTGATCCTGAGTCAGAGGACCGCCGCCCTCCCCCACACCACCACCACCATTCCTACCTCCCAGATCTGAGCTGTCTCTGCTACTTTTGAGCCTTTGTTTGATGTGATGACACCTTGGAAATTCTGAGAACAGCCCTCAGCCACTTTCCATTCACTGAGCACCTGAAGCCTGCTCCTCAGCCGTTCCTGTTCCAGCCGCCTTCAAGGTTCCCAGGTGAAAGTGAAGCCTCTCAGGAGAAATCAAAGAGCCTTGTTTCAGGAGCCTACTCCCTACCAGCCAGCCCAGAAATGTCTGCAAGGCTGGCCGGGCTCCAGGGGCACCTGAAAAAACTGGTTTGGAGCCAAAGGCATCTATGGGGCATGTTACACGCGGCCCACCCCCACCTCCTACCTCCTTTTACTTTCTGCAGCTCCGTTAGCTCTCTCTCCTACTTCTCTCCCTGTCTCGCCACCTTCCCACCTCTGAGATGGGTGGGGAGGGGGGTGTGGGCAGGAGCTTGACCATGATGTCAGAAGGGTAAGGAGGAGCCTGGGGCATCTTGCCACAGCCTCCTGTCTCTCTCGGGCCCCTCCATCAGACTCCCGCCCCAGCTCCCAGCTCTCTCAGGATGTAAAGCCAGGGAATTCTTTGTGCCTTCCCATGGGGCTGAAGCCAGGGGTGAGTTTCGGGGCCACTGGCTACGGTGATGGGCAGGACTGGGGGCTTAGGGAACATTGCTGAAGCACTTCTGTTAGGAGGTTCAACTGGCCATGGAGGAAGGACGCTCCTAAGGGACTTTGCAGGGAACTAGAGAACCCTCTCTGTAAGGGATAGGGGGAGGAAGAAGGAGGTGTCTAGAAATCTCACCAAATTTCTCCCGATGTCTCTCCTACCTCTCCTTGGGTTTGCCTGCTCAGCCTCTATCCTCCATTCTTTGCGCCCCTATATCGTTTTGAAACTTCCCAGCCTGGAAAGCACGAGTTCCTGGGACCTGCAGGTCTCCTTTTATATAGACTAGACTTTCTGTTGATCCCCAAAATGCTCTTAAAATGCACAACCAGGAACCAGAATTTTAGAAATGGTCAAGTCCTGTCTTATGGATGGGAAGCTGAGGACTAGAAAGATGAAGTGGCTTGCCCAAGGTCATACATGCTGCTAGCTCCTGTTCCATTACACCAGGATGAGGGGTGTTCTTCAAATTCAGAACCTGAGACTCACATTCCAGGCATGATGGGTGGGGTCACACACTTTACTTTACTTTCACGGGCCTTTGATCTCAAAGGTCTTTTCTTGCTGTGGTCCAGGAGCATAGCTGACACGCAACTCAGAATCAAACCCCTGGCAGCCAGCAGTCAGCAGGAGCTGTTCCCACAGATAGCCAGGACCAGTCAGAATCCCACCCAGGGGAGGGGCTGCGGGAGGCTCCTCCCACCTTCTGCTTAGCCGGCCAGGCAGTTCTCTCTTTCTCACTGAGAGAGTCACTCCATCAGAGAGTGGCTGTGTGCTGGCATCCAAGAGGTCAGAGCTGAGGATGGGGAGAATCTCGGGGACCCAGAAGACCATGCCCTGCCTGAAAGCCTGGCCTGAAGGCCCAAAGGACCTGCCCTAACACAGCCCTGGCAGCTGCCTGGTAAGGGAACTAACTGTTGGGCCCTTCTGGGGCTTGGAGGGAGGAGAGGAAACAGTATCCAAATACAAGCTTGCTGGGGCTGAGGGGAGGGGGCAGGGCCTGTATTTGCTGAGCACCTACTTTGTATCAGGTCTCCTGATGGCCTGAAGATCTGCTGATTCCTATCCCATTTTACAGTGGCGCAAACTAAATCTCAAGGAGAAGTAATACAATCTCAGAGCAAGGGGCAGAACCAAGATTAGAGCTCCTTCTGTCTGACGCTAGAGCCACAGGTGTCTCCGCCACCAGGGCCACACTTCACCTTCTGTAATTTTCTTAAGGAGGCCCCACGGCAGTAATGCCTCTCCTCACCTCAAGCTAATTTCGGCTCCACTCCGGCTTCTGATCAAATGATTCTGTCTGTGCTGCAGTGACTGATGGCAGGGGACAGTGCCTGACGAGGAAGGAGAAGCCCGGGGTTCACAGTGTTTGTGTGATGGAGATTCTGGGAACGGGGGTGGAATTCCCTCCGCTTCTCAGGGCCAGTCCGGGAAAAGGTGCCATCAGACACCCAGATGACCCTGACGTCCTGGGTCTGACCCTGTCCTTCCCGAGGAGATGCCAAACTGAGTACCCTCAAAACGACACTCTAGTCAACTCAGACCCTAGGGGGCAGCACGGGGCTATATTAGAAAGAGCTTGAGATTTGGGTTCTCAGAACCAGTGGGGTCACTGAAGTCCCCAAGGAAGACACAGAACGGGGAGGAGAATGGAAACTAATGTTACCAAATACTTTCTACTCTCATTTGTCAGATGGGAACACTGAGGCTCTGAGAAGTTAAATGATTCAGAAGTGTCTGAATCAAGTTCAAGCTAATTCATTCACAGGAGGAGCTCGGTAAACCTTTGGAGAAGGCAGTGAAGGGATGGAGGGAGCCACTCCGCGCACCCTCTTAAACTTGGTGCTGGGGACAGCGGGGTAGACAGGGATTGGGGAGAAGGACTAAAGGGAGAAGGTTTTGAGATGATCATTGGTGGATTGAAAATGGTTTTTCTATGGCTGGAATTTTTGATGAGTGAGAAGGAAAGGGCTGAGGTAGAGAAACACGCCGGAGAGCAGAATTCTAGGAGCTTGTGTCTGTGCACAGATGTTCATCACTGGTTTGTAACAGTAACAAATGTGGAAATAACAGTATTCATAAATAGGACATGTGCTCTATATAAATGTTGGTATGTTTATCTCATGAAATACCTGGCAGAGAATGAGGCAGGTCTACGGGAACTGACATGGGACAGTGACGCTGACATTGGGGGGCAGTGTGCGTCAGGTGCAGTGATTCAAGGTGATTGAGTCTGCTTGTCCGGGTTTGATGCCATCCCTCACCTTGGGACTGTTTCTTAACCTCCCTAAGCCTCAGCTTTTTCATTTGTACAAGGAAGAGAATGGTAGTAATTACTTCAAAGATTTATAAGGATTCAAGGGGTTCTTAGCACAGTGCAAGCATGCATTAAATTAGTTCAAAAATGATTGCTAATATTATTAAGCCAAAAAAGTAAATAGCAAAATAAATGCATGCTATCACCCCACTTTTCTTTTTCAATTTTTTTCTTCATGCAAAAATATATGTGTATATAAATACACGTGTGTTTACATGAATAAGACAGCTGTTGACAGTGGTTATCTTGGAGGTATGAGACTAGAGAGAAGTGAGGGGGGGACTTACATTTTTTTAATAGACTGTCTTGTAGAGAAGTTTTAGGTTCACAGCAATTCTGAGCCCCCCACACAAGCCTAGCAGCCTTCCTCACTTATCAACATTTGTTAAATCGATGAAGTACATTGACACACCATTGAAACTTACACCTTTAACTTTACACATTTCTATCTTCTTTTCGTTTCTACAATGAGCATGTACTTTTTTGTAAGTAAAATACTATTAGTTAAGTAATGGCTGAATCACACCCAAAGCCCCAGAATGGCTGGATTCTGGAAAGTGGCCTGGTTCACAGAGGTAACCGCAGAGGTGGGACAGTCCACCTGGGCCTGCCTGGGAACAGAACCCCCACTCTGCTGTCACCAGCATGACCGTGACAGGTCACAGGCCTGCCTGCCTGGCTGCCTGCTGCTCTCTGACAGCAGCTCTCATTGGCGAGCAGGCCAGGCCCCTGGGCCATGCCTGCCTCCCCTGACGTCCTCGCCATGCACAGTGCCCACCCAAAGCAGCTGATGACCTCAGAACTCCCAGGGAGGAGGCCGGGAGGTTGGCAGAGCAGCCAGTGTCCTCAGACAGACAAAGAAGGAGAGCACTGGGCAGTGAGGTCGCCAGCCCTGGGTTCAGACTCTCCTCTGACATTCACGAGCACAGAGACCTTTCCACGAGCTGTTTCCTCTCTGCAATCCAGGCCCACCTCAGGGATATTAAGACTTTGGGTCCAGACCACCTCAACAGAGCCAGTATCACAATAAAGCAAGCCAAAATCTTTTTACTGGTGGAGGGCCTTGCCTTCGATTTGTAAAAAAATAGAAATACCCCATCTATGAAGTGCAATAAAGTGAAGCATGTAAGCAAAGGTCTGCCTGTGCAGGGGTGAACCTGCCCACCTTACGAGGCCATTCGAGGATGGAGTGAGACAGTCTGTGGGGAGGCACCTAACTCATTCACTGGCCCATGGAAGGTGTTTGGGAAGTTTTCATCCTGTCTGCATGGCCTGCTTAATGGGCCCAGGTCCTCAGGTAAAAAAGGGAACATCTGGCATGGTCAGGGTGAGCGTATAATTAGGGGTGTCCTTCCTGGCAAAGGTGGGACAAGGTCAGGACAGCCTTGGAGCTGAGGACAGGGTGGACCAGCTGCATTTCTGGCCCACCATGCTGGCTGGCAAGCCACTCCCTAAATAAGGTCTCGGCCTTTATTTGGGTTGGATTTAAAATGTGATTCTCCAAAATGACGTCATTCCGGAAGCCAGAGCTGTACCCGCAGGTGAGGAAGGAGGCTGCTCCCCACACCTGTGGACAAAATGCTGCCACTGACGACCCACAGGATGGAGACGCTGGGCTGAGAGGAGCTGAGCCTTTGGGGTGTCTGCCTCCCACCTGCCCTGTCTGTTTCCCCAGGTGATTCCTACTTCAGCCTCTCTCTGCACAAGCAGCTTCTCAACATGAGAAACGGTCTCCACTTGACCTTCCTGTGTCTGAGCCTCTTCGCTGGAAGGTGAGCTCTGCTACCCCACAGTGGCCTTGGTTTGAATTGCTCTTTGTAGATGCATGTGGTGGGCGGGTGCTGGCAGTGCTTCCTGCTTACCAATGGCAAGACAAAACCTAGTCCATTCACCTCCCTGACCCTCCGGGACAAGGCAACTTCCTGCCATTTATTCTGTCTGGAGAACTCAACCTTCCAAAATGGCCATGCATGGACAAACCCCTCGCGTATTGGGGGAAGACATTTGGAGGGCTCCCAGATTACCACAACGTGACAACTGGTGATATAAAATGCAGTGGGAGAGGGGCATTAATTCAGCAGCTCAAACTCAGGTTTCTCTTAGCGAAAGTCACTGCTGACCCATGGGCACAGCCACATACATGCAAACCACATACATGCAAACCCAAGCTCATGCGTGTGTGTACACAGCTTTGTTCACACAAACAAACATGCACTGAAACCTGTTTTTCTTTCCAGGATGTGCAGTCAGGGGAATCAGTTCAACGTGGAGGTCGGCAGAAGTGACAAGCTCTCCCTGCCTGGCTTTGAGAATCTCACTGTAGGATATAACAAATTTCTCAGGCCCAATTTTGGCGGTAGGTCATCCTTTTTGTCCAGGACATCAATTCGAAAGTCTAGGAGCAGAGGTGGGTTTCAGGGGGGTTTAGCTGACCCCATTTTCTGATCTGCAGCCTGGTAAGGACTGGCAATGATGGATGAGGACAACCGCCGGTGATTTTTCACACCACCTGGGAGAAAGCACTTTATCTCTCCACCTGCAGGATAAAGAAATAGCCCTCCCCACTGAGCAGCTTACTAGAGCCCCCTAACGACCTCTCACATGCTGTCTTCCTTCTGCCTCCACGTCCAGCATCATTATTCAAGGAACTCACCATGTCTCCCCAGGACCATTCCACCTGGTCTTCCTGCCTTCAGCCTGCCCCCTCGAGGCTAACCTCCACTCTGCCCCCCCACCATGAGCTACCTGCCTGGGTCCTTTGCCTGATGAGAATATCTGCTGTGTCCCAGCATTGTCAGTACAGAGTCCAGGGCCCTCTGGTTGGCATACCAGGTCCTTCCCAGCTCAGCCTCCGTCTAGCTCCAGTTTCATCTCCCCCAGCTCCTTTCCATGAGTGTGCCCCAAACGCTCCCTGATTCCTTGGCCTCTCTTGGGCTCCATGCCTTTGCTGAGACCGTTTATCTGCCAAGAAAGGCTTCTTCCAACCTGACTTCCTGATAAAATGCCAATTTTCCTTCACTTCTCAGAGCAAAAGCTTCCTCCTCTGAGAAGCCTTCCTGGGTTCCGCCAGGCCCCCGTCCCCTTTCTTCACACTTTATTTTGAACATACCTCCACATCACAGCCATGACCTACTGATACCATCACTGTCGCTGGTTTGATGTCCGTCTCAGTTCTAGGCTGCAGCAACTGCGAAGATCTTGCTCTATTTACCTCAGTAAACCCAGCAGCAGCGCAGTGCTTAACGTATAGTAAGTGGCCAATTAATGTTGTTGAAAGGAAGAGGCAAGGAGGGAGGAAATGAGCCCACCGCACACCTCTACACAGGGCCTCAGTCTCCAGTTATAAAACGCAAGATTGAACCAAGGTGGTCTCTAATGTCTCATCACATAGAGTGGAAAGCAGTAGAAAGAGCCTTGGACTTGAAAAAACCTGAGTTTGTCTCCTGGCTGTACTGCTTGGCAGGCAAATTAGCTGCCTGGGCCTCAGGAAGCTAAGCTTTCCTTTCTGTAACTTGGGGACATGTCACCCACCTCAGAGGGAGGACTGAATGAGGTGGAGTGAGTAAACCTAAGCATAGTGCCTGTCATATCATCAGGTTTTCAGCCTATTTTAGTCCCTTTTCCTTCCTGCTCTTCCCTGTAGGTGATAAAAGTCTCTGGTTAGATCAAGGATTAGCGAGTTAGTCCAGGTCCTCTGAGGAGCAGACGCTGAGAGGGGAGTATCTGTGCAACACATTTATTTGGACAATATCTGAGGGAATATGGGGCGGGAAAAGAGGGAAGCTCGCGAGTTATCAGGCTGCAGTACAGGGCTGACCCCAGGGAAATAGAGGGTCGGGGAAGGAAGGTTGGGTGGCGGTGTCTTGGACAGCAGCGCCGTTCTGAGCGTGTTTGGAAAGGCTGCCTTCAGAGGTGTCTCCCATCTCTGTACCTTCAAGGACAGGTCTGCCTTAGCACCCCTGTGGCCCTCAGTCACTGGTGGGGTGCTGGCATAGGAAGGGTGGCCTTAGGGCAAATGCGGTCGTGGATTTCAGAGCACAGCCGCTGGGGCCCTCAGTCAATTACACCCCTCAGTAAGAGATCTGAGATGCATGTTCATGGCCAAACAATTAGGATTTGAGGTCCTTAGTTAAGAGATCTAGACAGGCTTCAACCTCCCCTGGTTTTCCCAGGCCCACCGACCACTAACAATAAGCATGTGAGTCTGCACACCCATTCATTTCTCTGCCGCCCAAATTCCAGACAGTTAGGCCAAGACACTGCCCTTGTTGCCTGTTTACTGGTCAACAAAATGTAGGTGCTCGGGCCAGGTGCTCATTCTGAACCTGGGGTGGGCCCACGGGGATGTGAGGCCCAGATCCTCCTGGGGTGAAAACAGGGCAAGGGGTCTTCAGTCAAAAACCACAACCCCAAAACCTTTTTTGTGCCTTTCGGCACTTGGCCTCCTAAAGGAACCTCCATCCCCGTGGCAGCCTGGAGGCCCATGGAGGGGCCATTGTTTCTTGTGATGTCTGTCCACCCAGGTTCTACAACCCTGAGGTCCTTAAGAGAAAAGACGTCCGTAGGATTTTTTGAGATAGACAAAGTACAACTTTGCCAGCAAGCTCTAGTGAACACTGCCCAGGAAATGGCTTTGACCTCTTTCCTGGGAGAAAGCTGCCCTCTGGTGGCACAGCTTTTCTATTAAATAACTCAAGGGGAAGAGGACGAGCGCTGGCCCATAAAAACAGCAACTGAGCCAAGGCCTGGACTAGACCATCTAGAAAGAAACTAAACAAAAACCTAAACTAAACAGTGTGTTCTCCATTCTCCACATGCCTCAGGGAGGGCAATAGCAGTGACCCACTCCCCACTGGGTTCCAGGCACTGAAAAGAGATCCTTTAACCTTCCCAGCCCAACCCTTGCTGGTAGGCACTAGGAGCTCTATTTTATAGGTGAGAAACTGTAGCACAGAGGGGTTTAGCAATTTGCTCAAGGTCACACAGCTACGGAGTGGCTGGCGTGGGATCCAAACACTGTGACTCCCAGCTTCTCCCTGCTGCCTGGAGGGACAGAAAGCCACCTAGCACCACACTCCTTCAGCACCTTCCAGAGCCTGCCCTCCAAGATCCCCCCCTTTTCTACCAAGTATCAATAACAAGTATTAACTTAGTTATTCTTTAATTGCACTGGTTCTAAAACACCATTTCCAAATTCCCACCTATATTCTATGGCTTGCTTTCCTTCAGTTAATTAGGTGGCTTTGTCTGGTGGCCACTGATTCGATGTTTTTAAGCTTCTTTTAATTCTGCCTCGCCTCTTCCTGGTTAATGCATTGTCACAGTCCCCTGAGGCAGCCCCACTATTAATCGTGAGTGAATGCTATTGCACCTATGAACCTGGTGAGCGAGTTGTTCCTTTTCCAGAACTAGCTAGGATGACGGAAGAGAGGAGGAAAGGAAGGCAAATGCCATTTACGGAGTGCCTATTATTACGTACAGACACCATGCTGGCAGCTTGTACAGATAACGATTTCTGAGCAGCTTTTGGATGCCCAGCTGGGCAAGCGCTTTAGGTGCACCCCCTCCTGCCACCACCTTGCAAAGGAGCCATCATACGCCTCATCTATTTGACCCTATGGGGTCACTGACATTATCCCCACTTACGGGAGAGAAAGCTGCAGCTATGACAGGTTTGGTCACTTTTCCCAGGCCACCGAGCTGAGATCACACTCACATCTTTCTGACTTTTGGGCTTTCCTTCCACATCTCCAATCTAAGGAGGAGGAAACATCCCGGCCTGGCCTGGCTTCCAAGAATGGGGGTCCGAGGCCTCAGTCCCAAGAGCTAAGACTGGAACTCTTAGGGGTTCGGCCCATTTGCCAAAACTCCAGGACCGAGGCCTAACCTCTGTACACCAGACCAAGTGGGGAAGGTTCTGGAATTCTAAATAGCTTAGGGTTCCCGAAGAATAAAGGAAGAGGAGGAAAGTGTCAGGAGGTGAGCGAGCTCAACCAGGCACAGTCTTGAATGCCATCTTGTGGCAAACTTACTTCACTGAGGGGGAAAACATATTTGTGCACAAGTTCCCAATCTCCATTACGTCCCTAAATGATTAATGCCTTGCACGGAGCACAAGAAACATCCCCTAGGTATGAAGTAGCAAGCACTACTATGCGCTTTAAAATGCGCACCAACGAACACAGTGTGGTCTCTCCTATATATTAAGTGAACTATATATTTGTACACTGTTTTCCATACAAAAGGGAGGCACACGCTGCACAATGGCTCCTCCTGAGGGGGGAGGACAGAAATTAAACTTGGACTTTCGACACTTCTAGAGAATTTACAATTTTCCGATAGGCAAGTGTTACTTTTGCAATTTTCGAATTTAAAAAAAAAGTACGCTAATGTAGCGTTGGGAAACCATCTGTTAGTGTTTCTACGGACGCCTTTCTGTTTTTTTTCTTCAATCAGGAGAACCAGTTCAGATAGCCTTGACTCTGGACATTGCAAGTATTTCTAGTATTTCAGAGAGTAACATGGTAAGTGTGGCCCCTTCATCTTCCACCCCAGGAGTCCCTCTCGTGTTTACTGGGGATACACTTTGTAGCTCCTCAGAAACAGAAAAAGACTTACAGCCCCCCCTGCATTTGGAGTGGCAGAAGGTGGGGACCTACCCCCAAAACTCAAGACCGTGGAAGATTCCTATAACACAGGTCTTTTGGGTAGCAGGAGGAAAGTGGGTTCAGAGGGGAAAAAGTAGGGGTGGGTACATTTGGTGAGGGATTGCAATTGGGGCAAAGAATGAAAGTGCTGCGGGGAAGCCTGACTTGCACACGGTCCCTCGCAGAGAGGAAGACAAGCTGATCAAAACCGACAATCACGGTTCTGCTTTCAACCACTTAGAGAACATGTTACAGACCAGTTGACACTCAGGGCAGTTTGCGTCCACTGTGGTGGGCCCACTGCGCATTCAGTGTAAATCCTAGACAACCTAAACACTCAGTCCACCGAAACCTTCAGCAGTTTGGCGGGGCCAGTGTGGTCGGGGACAAGTAAGTTAGGCCCTGAGCATGCTCCTTTGGGGTCCCCCTTAGGCGGTGGGCGTCATCACCTAGAATAAATAAGGTGCTTTGTTCTCTTACGGCCGCTGCCCCAAGACAAACTTTACTCACCAGTGTCTACTATGCTATGTACTCTTGACCTAAGTGGAGGTAGGAGGCAGGCTTGACCCTTTCCGATTTTGGAACCTTTCTCTCCCCATCCATGTTTACACCCTGGGTCGCCCTCAGGACTACACAGCCACCATCTACCTCAGACAGCGCTGGACGGACCCGCGGCTGGTGTTTGAAGGTAACAAGAGCGTCACTCTGGATGCCCGCCTTGTGGAGTTCCTCTGGGTGCCGGACACGTACATAGTGGAGTCCAAGAAATCCTTCCTCCATGAGGTCACGGTGGGAAACAGGCTCATCCGCCTCTTCTCCAATGGCACCGTCCTATATGCTCTCAGGTAACTGGGCACCTGCGACTTCCTGGGTGGAGGGGAAACAGCTGGAAAAAAGACAGAGGTGCATCTTGAGTAGGTCTGACCAGCACTCAGATAACCACGCTGAGGTCCCACCCTTCCCATGCTCCTGCCTTCTTAGACCCTTGTCCCGTTAACAGAAGGACCCTCTCTCCATTCAGTGTGGTTCAACGAGCATCTACTGAACGATGGCTCTGTGCCAGGCCCTGTGCTGGACACCGAGGGTACAGAGCAAACAAGACATTGTCCTGACACAGACACAAAAGCAATGGAGTCCAGGGCGATAGGGGCCCAAGGAGGGGAGTAGGTCAGTGTTTTGGGTGATGTCAGAGGATGTTTTCACAGGACTCTGAGCTGAGGCTTACAGAGCAAAAGGAAGTTAGTAAGTGAAGATGTAAGGGGGGGGACAGCAAGAGCAAACGGAGAGGTCCATGCAAGGAACTTTCCTTTTGTGGGGCTCAGTGGGGCTGGGATAGGTCCAGAATGCATCTGCACGTGTCTGAGTTGTTTTTGTACAAGAATCAAAGCGCAGGGCCCCAAGGTCTCTGCCACCCGTAGCCAAGGGCTCCCCCGTTGCCCCTTCTCCAAATCCCTGAGGCCAAAAGATCCTCCCACCCAGCTGTTCATCAAGCCACTAGTTGTTCAGAACAGGAAAGGTGCCCCCTATATGCTGCAGGAGGTCTTCCATGGGAGAGGCTCACTGCAGCGTGTACAAGGGCTGTGCAAGGGCTGTGCAAACCTAATTTTCCCAGAGCCCTTGGGGAGAGGGCCTGGAAACAAATATTCATGGGGCTAATCTTCAAGCCCAGTAAGAGGCTGAAGTTATAAAACAAAGACTGAGCTAACCAATACACTGAATTTCTGGGTTATTCATCTGACACTCAGCTGCACTGAATTTTGCAAAGACCAGCCCAAACCCCAACTCCTCTTTCAAGAACCCTAATTGGACCTCTTCCTGGAACCCAACTCCAATCAACATTCATGTCCCCCTTCCCCAGGCTCCCACAGCATGTGTACATGCATGTGTGTGTGCATGTGTGTGTGTGTGTGTCTGTGTCTGTGTCACGGCACATAACACAGTCTGTTGTGTACAATGGATGAGGGTTAATAGCCTGGCTCTAGAGTCAGACAGATTTGGGGACAAGTCTCTGCTCTGTGGCTTTAGGCAAGGTACTTGACGCTCTGAGCCTCAGTTTTCTCGGCAGCAAAAGGAGAATAATAATATTTCCTACCTCAGAAAGCAGTTACAGAAATTCAAAGAGATAATGCACGCAAAGCACTGAGCCCAGGGACTGGCTCCTGTAAGCCCTTGGTAAACGGCGGCGGTTGTTAGTCTCTATCTGCCTTCAAGGAGGTGAGCTTCCTATAGGTGGCACCAGCCATAATCATTTCCACTTTCCCCAAGCACCCAGCTCAATAAATAAAGGAGCCTAATAAAACCATGTGACACTGAAGAAAAAGGGAGATAAAGGCCTGCCAATTGAAATCTCCACTGTCAGGGCTTAACTGACATTTAATCGAACGTCTCTGGGTGTTGGCCCTTAGCAGCCACAGCACCTGGCATCCTTCCATGCCCTCTGCTTCCTCTGCAAGCTGACCCCTCCCCCCACCCCACCCAGGATGCAGGGACCTTCAGAACCCAGCCCCAGCCCTGCCACTGAGAGCTGTGTGAACCTAAGCCTGTTGTCAAATGCTGACCCTACGTAGTGACAGTGATCTCTGCTCTAGCTCCTCACGGTTTGTCATGAAGATGAAATTTTACAACCGGATGTAAAAGCATCTCAGACCAGCCAGTGAGTGATTCTGTTCTGCGATATTGTTGTATGTTTGCTTCTGAAGTGCCAACATTCCAGCTGCCTCCATTCTGGACCCCAGCTTTCACCGAATGTCACAGGGATCACTTAGCACAGAAAACCTCAGAAATGCAGGCTCCCAGTCACACGTTCACTGTAGGAGCCAAGGTGAAAGTCTACTTAGAATGGCCCTTAAAAGGGAAGGTGTACCTCTGTGAGCATCCTCGTAACTCCGGAAATGAACCCATGTTTCCTTTCTTAGAATCACGACGACCGTTGCCTGTAACATGGACCTGTCTAAATACCCCATGGACACACAGACATGCCAGTTGCAACTGGAAAGCTGTGAGTATATATCCTGCAGGGCCCCCGTGATGATTTTCCTGAGTGACTTAGATCTGTGTATTCCTGAAGAGCGTCCTAGACATAGAGGCCTTTCCTTTCCTGACACTGATGATAACAGATTCGGCCCTTCTGAGTGTATGTCCCGAGAGATTTAGAGACCGCTCAAAGGCAAATTTTCCAAAATTTCATGTTTTGGAGAGGACCATTATGCATTGGCACCAAATATTTCCACCTAAGAGTGGACAAGACAGCCAAGGAAATGGCGGTCAGTAGGACTAGGAGTTGGATTCAGTATCTGCTAAGGCTTAGCAACCAGAAGGAACGCAGCAAAGATCAGAAATGGCTAACAGATAAAGCAATCATTGACGTTTACCGCACAGCTGCTTCCAACTTCTAAAAGCAATTGTTTGATATATATATAAAGCTTAACACAGTAATGCCAGCAAGTGGGCATCTGAACTGCAGTCTGGGGATTTGCTTATGATGAAGAACAAGCAGTTACTCCAAGTCGGTGTGTGACAAATGGCACAGCTGAACAATAGCCATTGTTCCTTGGAAATGCCCACAAAACTTGGGGAAGTAGCACCTGTGACAGGTGTCCTGGGAAAACAGTGCCACAGAGAGGAGTCCTCAAGGAATCAAGGCGCAGCTTACATAAGGAGGAAAAACTAGAGCCAAGTGCTGGAGGCCAGCGGGCACTTCTTGCATAAGGACACAAGTGGCCATCATTTAAGAAGCACAATCATGATAAGGCAGCAGTCATTTTCTTTCAAAGGCAGACATTTAATTAAAGACTCAGACGGGCAGATTAATTACCTTATTGATTAAATGCATGCAAAACCTTCTTGAAGCAGTACAGCTGTTGGGGGCAGAATAAAACTTGAGGTTATCAAGATGAGAACTCATTTTCAGCCCCACATGGCAAAAGTAATTGCCCTCCACGTGTAGCTGTTCTCATCTCAAATCCCAGGAGTGAGATTCTCCTGGAAACTTCAGCACACTGCTTGCACAAATACCATCCCCAAAGAGCAGAGGAAGCTTTCACTGAATGTTTATTAGCAGTTATTTGGGTACAGAAACCTCAGCAAGGTTTTTTTTTTTTCCTGAACGCCATTCCTACAAAAGAACTGACACCACCTGACAAAGCAAAGTGTCCAAGCAGTGGCTGGTATGACTCACTTTTTCAGATATTTTATTACTTTGGCATCTGAGGCCTTTTTGGACAGCTAATTCCAGTAAATTTGGGAGTGCTTCTAAGGAAAAGGCCACAGGTAGTTGTTACCTGGGAACCCCCTAGGAGCTCAGTTTTTACCTGGAAACCCCCTAGGAGCTCATGCCTACTTCTCCGCCCTATGAAAGGAGAGAGATAACCACAGCTGGACAGTGAACTCCATAAACTAAGGTTCCACAGAAGATTAGTCCCCACACTGGCATCCTCTTCCCAGTAGCCTGGGAAAAAAGGTGTATAGTTCCGTGTTTACGATCACAGGTACCGGAACCACAGGGCCTTTCCCAACACTAGCTGTGTAACTTTGGGTGTGGGGGACTAACTTCTCTGGGCCTCAGTTTCCTCATCAGTGAAATAGGAAAAATAACAGTACTTGACGCAAAGGGTTATTTTTTTAAACAGCCTTATTGAGGCAGATTTACCTACCATAAAATTCACCCAGTTTAAGTGTACCATTCAAAGATTTTTGGTAAGTGTGCTGACTTGTGCGACCACTGCCACATTTCACCGTTAGAACATCCCCATCACCCAAACAGACCCCTGTACCCATTTGTGGTCACTCCCGTTGCCACCACCAGCCCCCTGGCAACCGCTGATCTACTTTCTGTCTCTGTGAATTTGCCTTTTCTGGAGATTTCTATAACTGGGACCAATATGGTATGTGGTATTTTTCATCTGGCTTCTTTCACTTAGTATTGGGGTCTCAGAAAAGGCATTACGTATTTTTTCTATGTTTTTTGTTGCAAAAATACGTCATGACTTTTCCAACAACCCAATATAATGTTTTTGAGGTGCATACAGGTTGGCGCATGTGTCAGTACTTCACTTTTTATTGCTTTATTCCTTGTTAGTCCAGACACATGATACAAGCTGTACTAGTCCCTCTGGTTTATTTTCACCTTTCAGCTGTTATGAGCAATGCTGCTGTGGACATGATTTGATTTGTCTTGGGTAGGTGCTTAGGAGTGAATGCTGGGTCAAATGGTAAATTATATGTGTGTGTGTGTATATATATATATATATATATATATATAAAATGTGCTACATAATACATACATATATATTACATGTATAGCTCAACTGTAAGAACTATCCCAATTTCAGAAAATGTAAAAGAAAAAAAGAAATGCTTACCTTGCAAGTTTTTGAGAACATTAGCGCCATAATGTGTAAAGGACTTAACATAAATGTTTAATAAAAGGCAGCTATTATTGTTATTATCAACTATATTAGTAAAAGTGCTTTGAGATTTCTCAAACGCCTATGTTTACAGCCATCTACAACGGGGCCGCTGCAAGTGCTGGAGTCTTGTTTTTGCCAATTTATGCCAATATGGAAATATGAACAGGCCAATTATGAAGTCCCTGAGAACATTGTCAGAGTGGTCAGACTGTCCTGAAAGGCGATATCTAGCAGGGACACATATGTGTCCAATAAATATTTAGAAAAAAAGGGAGGCTTATCATCTACCAGGTCTATACAGTGCTCAGCACAGAACCAGTTCTCTACTGCACGGAATAGCCCCAGCCGGCCATCTCCTTCTAAGTGGGCACCGCACTTACACTTGAGAAGTCAGGCCAAGCTTTGCATGGGCTCGTCCAGGGACTGAGCCCCATCAAAACAGAGCTCCTGCTGTCTCCATAGTGTAGCATTTCCCAGACCAGTTCAGTCTGCTGCTTTCTTGCACTGACCAGGGCTCTGCTTGACTTGCCAGGGGGTTATGATGGAAACGACGTGGAGTTCAGCTGGCTGAGAGGCAACGACTCTGTGCGTGGGCTGGAGAATCTGCGGCTAGCTCAGTACACCATCGAGCAGTATTTCACCTTAGTCACCAGATCGCAACAGGAAACAGGTAACTCGTGGGAAAATTGCACAAAAGCTAAAGAACCGGGTTGCATTCTAAGTCAGAAACATCACTTGTTCTCCACTGTATCCCTTTGGGGCCCAGGAACCCCTTTGCAGTGTGGTGGGGCAACAGGGTTTGGGCTTGGCACCTGCTCCACACCCAGTGCTGACATGGCCCCAGGAGACTCGCAGTCTAGTGAGGTAGATGGCAAGGTGACCAGCAGTTAGGGTGCTGCAGGAATACTATGATAGAGGAAGGCACAAGCCAAGGATGGGGGTGGGCATCAGCACCCCTATAAACCCCACTTTACAAGAGCATTTTCTTCCGATGAAACTATAAAGACAGTTCACAATGAACTAGGTGTTGGTGAATAACAGATGGCTTAATGTGAGTACAGCTGAATTAAACACCCCATAGGGGAAGCCACTCTGCTGCGCAGACGTGATTTCCTAGCTCTTGTTTACCCTATCAGGAAATTATACACGATTGGTCCTGCAATTTGAGCTTCGGAGGAATGTCCTGTATTTCATTTTGGAAACCTATGTTCCTTCTACTTTCCTGGTGGTGTTATCCTGGGTTTCGTTTTGGATCTCTCTAGATTCTGTTCCTGCAAGAACCTGCATTGGTAAGTAGCAACAGGAGTTTTCTAAGAACTGTGTTATCGGGTCCTTTTGTTTTTTCCTTTCCTTCTACCATTGTTTTAATTGACAATCGAAGGGCAGTTTCAGGAGTTGGCTTCTTGAGAGATTCTTTTACAGAGAGAAAAAGAGACACAGAGAGACACAGGGAGAGATTACTCTAGGAGTAGTGCATTTTTCAACTTTTGCTTCCCAGTGACAGGTGAGGGAGAGTTGTGACGGGGGGGGGGGGAAGGTTTATGAAGTTATTTTGCATGCCGAACACCCCTTTTGAATGGGAAGACAGAAGGCAAAACATTTAGAAAACCATATCATTCATATCTGAGCAAAGTGGATAAATCAACCCTGTTCCAGATTTTTCAAAATGAGCCATGTTCCATTTCTGAAACCTGTCCCCACCTTGCCAAGCCCTGAATGGAGACAGCCTGCCAGGTGATGGTGGGAGGGTCACTGGCCAGTGACGTGGGGGCACTGCCAACCTGTCTTCCCAGGAGTGACCACTGTATTGTCAATGACCACACTGATGATTGGGTCCCGGACTTCTCTTCCCAACACCAACTGCTTCATAAAGGCCATCGACGTGTACCTGGGGATCTGCTTTAGTTTCGTGTTTGGGGCCCTGCTGGAGTACGCGGTTGCCCACTACAGCTCCTTACAGCAGATGGCAGCCAAAGATAGGGTAAGACTTGTGAGGGCCCTGTCTGTGATTCCTCACTGGGCCATGAGCTGGTCTGCAGAGATGACCCAGACCTGGCTCCTGACCCTGCCCACCCTCGATTCACTCTGTTCCACTGATTCTCATCCTGGTTCCGGTGGAAGCTTCTGGAGGTCATGACATCTTTTGAAAAAGGCTGTTCTTTTTGGCAAATACAATCAAATGTGAATACACTTAATCTTCTAGCAGAAAATCACTATGTTATCTGTATGCAACACGAAGTCAAAACTACAAGAACCCAATGTCACACACAAAAACCCAAAAGCACACCGTGATTGGCTGCTTACAAGTTTCAGGTTAATATGTACAGTAAAACCTTGGATTGTGAGAAACGTAGTTTGCAAGTGTTCCGCAAGACGAGCAAACATTTCTAATACATTTTAACATGGTAAACGAGCAATATCTCGCAATACAAGTAGTTTCTGGAATGAATTATGCTCGCGAACCAAGGTATTACTGTATTTACTGTTTAATTATTCCTTCGCATTCTTGGTTCCTTACTGAAAAATATGTGAAAAAATCAAATTATGGTAAATTTCTGGATTAGCATTATTTTTCTGCTAGCTGGAAAGCTGCCATTATTTGATTTAGCAATGAAACACCATGGTCCAGCTCTCAGGATAACAACCATTGTTATTATCCTGATAATATCCTGTTGTTATTGATAACAACAATGGTTGTTATCATTGAGCACTTACAAGTGCCAGACACAGGAACAAGCCCTTTGCAAATATTATATCATTTAAAATGCTCCTGACAACCCAGTAAGGCTATTTCCATTTTTATAGTTGTGGAATCTGAGGTACAGGAAGGGTGAGTGACTTTTCCCAGGGGACACAGATAGCAAAGAGGTAGAGCTGGGATTTGAACCCAAATCTGCTTGGCTCCAAAGCCTGACACTTATCTGTTACTCCCACTTATGGTAGACAACAGGCCATGATCTTACTTATTGTTCTCTACAATAATTAAGAATCCCACGGGGCTGACCGACTGGCTCAGTTGGTTAAGAGCGCAAGCTCTGTGCAACAGGGTCGCTGGTTTGATTCCTACATGGGCCAGTGAGCTGCGCCCAAGCTGGGCTGCTACTGAGCTGCCAATAGGCAGCAGGATGGCTCAGCTGGTGAGAACACGTGCTCCTAACAACAAGATTGTTGGTTCAACTGCCACATAGAGTGGTGGGCTTCACTCCCCTGCCCCTCCCCCACCCCCACCCCCACACACATAACTAAGATTGAACACGGTACCTTGAGCTGAGCTGCCCTGAGCTGCCAACAGGCAGCTCGATGGCGACTGGACTTGGAGCTGAGCTAGCTGCGCCCTCCACAACTAAGATTGAAGGGCAATATCTTGGCTGGTTCCCTTCCCCAATTCCCCAACACTGTTCCCCTCCCCAATTACCCAATAAAATCTTAAATAAAAACAAAGAATTCCATGGAACCCTGGGATTCTTTGGAAGTCCAATTTGATAGCATATGAAAGTTCATGCTAATAAGCAAAAGAAAGAGAGAGAGAGAGAGAGAGAGAGAGAGAGAGAGAGAGAGA